TGAGACTCGTTCATTCTTGCCTAATACCGTTCGTGCTGTGGGGTGGGCTAATTGAAGTATAAATTAGTACCGTGATCTTAACTAAACCGCGACTATGGAGGTGAAGATGAAAATACCAGCTGTCTCAGCTCTAAGTCAATTAAAGTGGTCTATGGGAGCCTATAAGGGAGCCCCCGAGCAAAGCATGTGAGGAGTGTCGTATGGCCAGGCAAGATCAGGGTGTAGACTGTGAGGAAAATAGAGAGTTGCCTGAAACCTTGGAGCAAAGGCCTTTGAGAGATCATTTATCCTTTTGAGACAGAGGGCCCATGCTACAGGTGAGTCTGACTACACAGTCGAAGTAGCACGGAAGGACTATGACGAACGAAGGGGAGAGTGTTAAAACAGAGATGAGACTCCCGCGGCAGCTAATAAAGACTTTGAAGGCCGGTACAGCAGGGCAGCAAATGTTTCAGGAACACGAACAACAGCACGCCTGTTAATGTGTTGCCCAGATTGCCCCAGTTGAATTTACCAACGTTCGACGGAACCTTAACAGAGTACATTGCTTTCTGGGATCAGTTTAAAGCCCAGATAGATGACAGAGACGATTTGTCAGATGCCATCAAATACAGTATTTACGATCACAGCTCAAGGGTAAAGCCTTGGACTTGGTCCGGCATTACCAAACCACTGACCCTAATTACCAACAAGCCAAAGACCAATTAAAGGACATGTTTGGCAACACTGAGGAGATAAAGGTAGCTATACTTTATCGGTTGTTGGATCTAGAGGCTTGTCGCCATGACCGTCAGAGCCTAGAGAAGTTCCGAATCGAAGTTATGAGTTTGACAAATAGTCTTAAAGATTTACATGATTGGGGTAAGTCAGAATGGTTCATCAGTCAGGTGATTCAGAGGAAACTGGCTGGCACTACAGTGCATGAGTTACACCTAAAATATCGGACGAATAGGTTCACGATACAACAAATTGTTGAGGGGTTGGGAGATCTCGTTTCTCATTTGAGTATAGGTGTGAGAGAAGAGTCACCACCATCACCACATAAAAACCCAGACAGTTACTCAAAGATCTCGAGAGGTCAGTCTAAAGCTCATACGACTAAAACGTTGGAGTGTACTATGGTAAAGAAGTGTCTAAGGTAAGAAACCTCTAAGCAGAACCTCAGAGGCACTCATGCCAGAATATGCGTGTTCTGTGAAGGCGAACAAGCTAGCACGAGTTGCTCGGAGTATACAGCACTGAGCAGTAGGCAACAGAGACTAAAGGAGTTGAGACTCTGCTTCAAGTGTTGTGGGGAACACTTTGCGAGAGACTGTGGCACCCAGCTCAGTGAGTGTCGAGTCTGTTGCAAAGGTAACACCATATTTGCACTATGTCCCAATAATTTAAGGAACCCCAGGCTAGTGGGATATCTCTCAGGTAGAGATAGAAAGTGAGTCTGAGCCTGAAGTGGTAGCCAGCGTGATTAGTGGGAGTGAAGTCTCTAATCCGAGTGAGAAATCACGGAGGTGCTGCCCTACCTACAGTCATGGCAAAGGTTGTGAATGGGCACAGTCTGAAAACCCGATTATTCTTTGACTCAGAGCACAAGTATCCTTGATAACAAAGAAGTTGGTGGCTAAATTAAAGTTGAAGGCCACAAGGAAAGTTAGTATGATGTTGGGAGGGGCTATAAGTCAAGCCCCACCCAAATCGTAATGATGTACCACCTAATTGTGGTTTGCAGGGGTCGATACTCAGCTCCTGGTGGATGTCAGTCAAATTAGGTGGACATCGCAGAGACATTACAGCCTTGGTGGCAGAGACGTTAGCCAGGCAATTACAGCGAGAGGTCTTGCTGCAGCAGCTAAGCGACTGAAAGACCTTGACGTGAAGATGGCAGACCAGGGAATTACCACTGACACAGTCAGAAATGTAGGTATCCTGGTGGGAGCCAATCAGATAGATGACTTCCTGTCTACACGACGGATGTTTAGGGAAGGAATTGGTTTATACAGATCCCCAGTAGGATACATCATAGGCGGCAGGATTCCACCTGAATTCCCTGACATGCCAGATAGAGGAGAAGCTGTCCCCATGATAGCTGGGGGAGTAGTGATAATGAGTACCAGTATACACGATGAACCGCCATGGAAGCTGAACCAGGTAGGGAGTGACGAACACTCGGCCACCTTGGGAAACACTTTTACAGGTTAAGTAAAGAGAGATAGATTGCCATTAAATCCAGGAATCTTGTATTAGGGGAGGAAAGGCTACCAGGGCATGTGGGCCACTGGGTGGGAAAGTATGGAGCCACTCAGTCAAGGCTAGACATACGAAAGATGCTAAAGTTAAAGGAAAGGGTGCTAAGACCACCGGAACCAACAAGTTTACACCCCCAGAGGTCCACGCAGGGAAACTGGATGGTTGAAGTTAGACTGGAGTCTGCTCGATGAGAGTGGCTGGACGGCACTCGTGTCCAGGGTCCGCCGTGGGGGCTCGCGAAGGTGAACTTGATTTAAACTTAGCGCCTACCTTCGCCGGCGGGAGGATGTTGGAACTTAATTAAGTCTGAGAAGTCCCAACGGGGAAAAAACACACCGTTTGAGGGCCCTTACACCCACCCAAAACACAAAACACACTCACCCGGTTGGCGAAGGTGGTTGGAAGGTACTTCTTAATTGATAGATTTACCCTTCAGGGAAGAAGTAGGTAGTTTATACTGTTAGTACACTAATATTAGGATTATTGAGGCAACTGTAGATAATAATAATGTAGACTGGGCCGCGGGGGCATTGACCCCCAGAACTCTCTCCAGGTAAACTCCAGACCTAAGACCTTAACATAGGTAGTAATAGGCCAAATGTAGGCAAACACTAGGTTAAGTTAGCTAGGGAGAACTGGCAGCCCAAGTTTGAATGACGAGGAGCGGGTCTCTAAGATGCCAGAGCTTCCTTCTATGACTAGACAGAATCTGAGCAACACGTGCCGTGATCAGCAGGCGGCGCCCACATGTGTCTTCACATATGAGACCTGGGGAAATCTGGTGGAGGCACCTCGATGTACCGTAGATGTCCTCCTCCGTCAGGCACATACAGTAAGACAAGACCTCCCTTTTTCTTAGGATCCTGGCCAGTGTCTGGGGAAAATTGCGAGTGAGTTGAGCTGTGGCCTTTGTGCAGCCGGCAGTTCATGACCAGTACGTGATTTTGTCTCTTGTCTACCTAGAAGCTAGTGTCCGTTTCTGCATAGTTATACTAGGGGATACACACCCTCTTGGATACAGGAATTTCTGAGGTGCAGCCAGGTCACTAATATAGATTGAATATTGCAGGAACTAAGACTCCAGGTTGCACGTGGTTTCTGAGGGAAAGTCCAAAGGGGCTGAGCTTAGGGAGGTTGAAGACCAGAATAGACTCTACATCACCAAGTAAGTTAGTCCTTTAAACTTGCATGGAGGCGAGATTTCTTGCAACATCAGTCATTTATGAAAATCTGTCCTATAAGCCACTTGTGAGGCTGAAGTACCGACCTCAGAGCTCGGTGTCAACAGAGCTTGCCAGGGAAGGCGACTCACTTGGAGGCAGTCCAGACAATTTTTCACATTGTGTGTCTTAACTGTGTTGTATGTCGTAACTGTGTTGTATGTCTTAACTGTGTTGTATGTCGTGACTGTGTTGTATGTCGTAACTGTGTTGTATGTCGTGACTGTGTTGTATGTCGTAACTGTGTTGTATGTCGTAACTGTGTAGTATGTCGTAACTGTGTTGTATGTCGTAACTGTGTTGTATGTCGTAACTGTGTTGTGTGTCGTAACTGTGTTGTATGTCGTAACTGTGTTGTGTGCCGTAACTGTGTTGTATGTCGTAACTGTTTTGTGTGTCGTAACTGTGTTGTGTGTCGTAACTGTGTTGTATGTCGCAACTGTGTTGTGTGTCGTAACTGTGTTGTATGTCTTAACTGAGTTGTATGTCGTAACTGTGTTGTATGTCGTAACTGTGTTGTATGTCGTAACTGTGTTGTATGTCGTAACTGTGTTGTATGTCGTAACTGTGTTGTGTCAGAAATAAAGATAGTGAAGTAATATATTGTAATACTATATGATAGTAATAAAGATAATAAAATAATAGCTGCATTACTATAATATAGTAATATAAATAATTACTATAGATAAAATATAATAATAAAATAATGTAGTGTCAGCTGTGTGGCTGATCATTTACCACAGTTTGTTAACTTCATTGCTTCACTAATTTACTAATTATCTTTATATTTCCAGTAATAATATATATAATATTAACTTATATTTGAAGGTCAGTATAATATTGATGTTGTTGGTTATTACAAAACCTTAAATAAACACAAATATAATAAATTTAGATTTTCTTTTGGTTACAAGGTGAATATTTATATTTTTTTTATAATATGTATATAAAGTTGAAAGTTTTTATTCATTATTTTATAATATTCTTCCTTCACTGCCAGACATTCATAGATGATTATTTTATAAATTATATTTTGAATTTGTTGGGTTATTGTAGGTTTAAATTTTTTCATTATTAGCTTTATAATATCATATAATAATATATGAGCATTATATATCTATAATATATGAGCATTATATACCTTTATAATAATTATTACCAATGTCTCACTATTAAAATTTAATAACGTGTGAAATTTTTTTTTAAAAAATTAAAAATCACATTTAATTGGATTAAGCAATAGTGATATTTATTTTACTTTTTGTGTTTTTTATAATAAATAATAATATATTATGACTGATAATAAATGTTGTTATTAAATAATGATGTATATTATTGAGTGTTGAAAGTGACGGTGAAGTGAAGTAACTGTGTTAGTTAAGACCAACATGGAGGACACACAGGTGATGTATCATGTGTCTTATTATGTTGTAGCTGTGTTGTAGTGTTGTAGCTGTGTTGTAGTTGTGTTTTTAGTGTGTTGAACTGTGTTGGGTAGTGTGTTTTTAACTTTTGTTAGTTAGACCAAACATGGAGGACACACAGGTGATGTATCATGTCTTATTATGTAGCTGTGTTGTAGTGTTGTAGCTGTGTTGTAGTGTTGTAGCTGTGTTGTAACTGTTGTAGTGTGTTGTAACTGTGTTAGTTAAGACCAACATGGAGGACACACAGGTGATGTATCATGTGTCTTATGTTGTAGCTGTGTTGTAGTTGTAGCTGTGTTGTAGTGTGTTGTAGCTGTGTTGTAGTGTGTTGTAGTGTGTTGTAACTGTGTTAGTTAAGACCAACATGGAGGACACACAGGTGATGTATCATGTGTCTTATGTTGTAGCTGTTGTAGTTGTAGCTGTGTTGTAGTGTTGTAGCTGTGTTGTAGTTGTGTTGTAGTGCGTTGAGCTGTGTTGTAGTGTTGTAGCTGTGTTGTAGTTGTGTTGTAGTGCGTTGTAACTGTGTTGTAGTGTGTTGTAACTGTGTTAGTTAAGACCAACATGGAGGACACACAGGTGATGTATCATGTGTCTTATTATGTTGTAGCTGTGTTGTAGTGTTGTAGCTGTGTTGTAGTTGTGTTGTAGTGTGTTGTAACTGTGTTGTAACTGTGTTGTAGTGTGTTGTAACTGTGTTAGTTAAGACCAACATGGAGGACACACAGGTGATGTATCATGTGTCTTATTATGTTGTAGCTGTGTTGTAGTGTTGTAGCTGTGTTGTAGTTGTGTTGTAGTGTGTTGTAACTGTGTTGTAGTGTGTTGTAACTGTGTTATTTAAAAGACCAACATGGAGGACACACAGGTGATGTATCATGTTTTCTTATTATTTTTGTAGCTGTGTTGTTGTGTTGTAGCTGTGTTGTATTTGTGTTGTAGTGCGTTGTAGCTGTGTGTAGCGTGTTGTAGTGTGTTGGTGATTTTGTAGTGTGTGTTGGTGATGTTGTAGTGTGTGTTTGTTTGTTGTAGTGCGTTGGTGATGTTGTAGTGTGTGTTGGTGATGTAGCTGTGTTGTAATGTGTGTTGGTGATGTTGTAGTGTGTTGGTGATGTTGTAGTGTGTGTTGGTGATGTAGCTGTGTTGTAATGTGTGTTGGTGTGTTGAGTGTGTGTTGGTGGATGTAGCAGTGTTGTAGTGTGTGTTGGTGATGTAGCAGTGTTGTAGTGTGTGGTGGTGATGTAGCAGTGTTGTAGTGTGTGGTGGTAATGTAGCAGTTTTTGTAGTGTGTGGTGGGTGATGTAGCAGTGTTGTAGTTTGTGGTGGTGATGTAGCAGTGTTGTAGTGTGTGGTGTGGTGATGTAGCAGTGTTGTAGTGTTGGTGGTAAATGTAAGCAGTGTTGTAGTGTTGGTGGTGAGTAGCAGTGTTGTAGTGTTGGTGGTGATGTAGCAGTGTTGTAGTGTGTGGTGGTGATGTAGCAGTTTTTGTAGTGTGTGTGGTGGATGTAGCAGTGTTGTAGTGTGTGGTGGTGATGTAGCAGTGTTGTAGTGTGTGGTGGTAAATGTGCAGTTTTGTAGTGTGTGGTGGTGATGTAGCAGTGTGTAGTGTGTGGTGGTGTGTAACAGTGTTGTAGTGTGTGTGGTGGTGGGATGTAGCAGTGTTGTAGTGTGTGGTGGTGATGTAGCAGTTTTGTAGTGTGTGGTGGTGATGTAGCAGTGTTGAAAGGTTGTGGTGGTATGTAGCAGTGTTGTAGTGTGTGGTGGTGATGTAGCAGTGTTGTAGTGTGTGGTTTTGATGTAGCTGTGTTATAGTGTGTGGTGGTGATGTAGCTGTGTTGTAGTGTGTGGTGGTGATGTAGCTGGTTGTAGTGTGTGGTGGTGATGAGCGGTGTTGTAGTGTGTGGTGGTGATGTAGCTGTGTTGTAGTGTGTGGTGGTGATGTAGCTGTGTTGTAGTGTGTGGTGGTGATGTAGTGTGTTGTAGTGTGTGGTGGTGATGTAGCTGTGTTGTAGTGTGTGTTGATGTAGCTGTGTTGTTGTGTGTGTTGGTGATGTAGCTGTGTTGTAGTGTGTGTTGGTGATGTAAGTAAGAAAGTAGACAGGTCATATGGTTGCATGCATTGTTGTACATTCAGTCATATGGTATTCTGTTAGGTAGTGTATTTAAAAAATAATAGTTAGATTGGTTTTTAGGTTTAACATTTATGTGATAATAATTGTGAGAAACATTTAAGATATACAATTTAAAGTTCAGTTATTCAGTATTTATTTGGTTTGGGTTGAGAAAGTGATCTTTGAGAAGAGCTTGAATTTATAAAAGGTTTAGTGTTTCTTTTATTTACAGTAATGAATTCCGGATTTTAGGGCTTTTATGTGCATTGAGTTTTTGCATAAGCGTGAGATGGGACACGAGGAACATCAAAGAGTAAATCTGTGCCTTGTGTTATGGTCATGGTGTTCTGTTGAGGTTGGCAAGGAGAGTTGAGGGGAGGGTTAATATCAGAGTTAAGTGTTCTATGTATGTAAAGGTGCAGTAATAAGTATGGATGTTTTGTATGGTTGAGTGGGTTTTTTAGTGTATTGGAATATTGGTGGAGTGGCTCCCTGTAGTGAGAATTTGTAATCATTCTAACTGCAGCCTTCTGTTGGGTAATTAGTGGTCTGGATGGTTAATTGTTGTTGAGCCCCTGCACAAATTCCATAGTGAGATAGGGGTAATAAGAGAGTGATATAGGGCCAGGAGGGCTGATTTGTGGAGCATAGAAACCATATCTTCGATAGTATGCCTACAGTCTTTGAAATTTTTTAGAAATTTTTTTGTATATGTGTATGAAATTTGAGTCTATTATCAAGGTGGTTTTCCTAAGAATTTTCCCTCTGTTAGCTTTGTGATAGGTGATCCGTTTATCATTATGTTAAGAGGGACATCTGTAGCTCTGTTACCAAACTGAATGAAGTAGGTTTTGTCAATGTTTAGTGTAAGTTTGTTAGCCCTCATCCAGGTAGATATTTTCTGTAATTCGGTATTTACAGTATTGGCTAGCGTGACTGGGCTCGGGTGGGAAAAGACGTATGTAGTGTCTCTGCAAATTGTGTGGGTTGAGTAATTGCGAAGCATTTGGTAGGTCATTTATGTATAGGAGGAAGAGAAAGAGGGCCAAGGACACTTCCCTGGGGGACACCAACTGTAATTGGTTGTGGCAGAAGAGTTTGCCCCATTTGCATACACATAGGGGCTTTCTGTTGCTGGGGTATGAATTGGGGTAGTTGAGGGAGTGCCCTCTTATACCATAGTGTGACAATTTTACGTGGAGCAAAGTCATGGTCAACTGTATCAAAAGTTTACGTAATCAATGAAGATCCCCAGTGGGACTTCTTTTTTCTCTATTGCAGTGTATATATGTTCTAGCATGTGTATAATAGCATCATTAGTATTTTATTAGGCCTTTGAATCCAATTGGCAGGGGTTGAGTATTTTTGGAGATAAGGTAGGAGTAGATTCGTTTATAAATTTAATTTTTCGAAGATTTTGAGAGAGGGGGGTAATTGGATATTGGCCTATAGTTATTCAACTCTGTTTGGTCTCCTCCTTTGTGGATCGGGGTGAACCTGCTATTTTGAGTACTGTAGGAAGGTGGAGATTCAATGGTTTTTGTTAAGAGTTTTTGCAATGATTGGTGATAGCACTTGTGACACTTTTTTGTATATAAAGGGTGGTAAGGTATTAAAATCTCCTGCCTTGTTTTTTAGTGCGTTGATAATAAGGGAGACTTCGTATGGGTTAGTCGGAGCTAGGAACTGTTTTTCGGGTAGTTGCCGGGAGGTGAGGAAAGTCTTTTGGTGGGGTATCTGAGCTTGGATTTTATTGGCAAGGTTTTGTCCTATAGTGGGAAGAAATCTTTGAGTCTGTTTCCCTGTTTCTGTTGGTGGGAGTTGGGGTTCATCTGATTTTGCTAATTTTATTTCGCTATTTCGTGATATCTTTTTTGTTCCCAGAATTTCTGATAGGGTTTTTCCAGGTCTTTTTTATATCACCTCGTAAGTTGGATAATCTTTTCCCTCATATTACAATTTTTTTGCCCTTCTTATCAGGTGGTTAGGATTGACGAGTAACGTTTTTTTGGTTTTCTTTTTATGTGACCCATTCTGTACTGTTTTTCATATTGGTGTTTTGTATTTAGGGGTTTGAGAATGCTGGGTGTTAGCCAGGGACTGTTCAGTCTCTTAGCTGTCCCTCTGTTTAGTTTTTTTAGGGGCAGTGCTTGTTATAGAGGTATTGGGTCTTTTTTTTAGAAAATTAATTAATAATTCGTCAATTATCTGTATAGATTTCTAGCTCAGTGTGCCAGTCAATGTTTGTGCTACTGCTGTTGTGAAGTATTAATGGCTGCCTCATTGTGAAGTCTGAAGGTGACTTTAGTAGTGTCTTGGGGTTTGTTTACCAAGAGTTGTTATGAGGAAAGTAGGGTATGGTCTGTGGTTTATCTGTAATTATGCCCGATTTTAAAGGGGATATGGTGTTGTCCAGATGTGGTCAAGTAGGGAAACACTAGTCTCTGTAAACTCTTGTAGGTTTTGTTACTGTTGGTAGCAACATACAGTTACTCATTGTGTTTGTGAATTCAGTAACGTGTGGGTCCTGGTCTTTTCAGGAGATTTATATTGAAGTCACCTGAGAGATGTAAGTGATCTTTGTTCATGCGTGCATCAGTTATCATACTTCCTAGGTTTTGACTAAATTGGCTAATGTTTGACTGTGGAACTCTGTAGATATTTTTCAATGTAGAGGTTTTTGTAGGTATTTGGATTTGAATTTGGCTATTATATATTCCCCATGTTCATCCCCTTTTGCAAGTATTGTGATACATTTAGTTGGTCTGAGTAGTATATGGCTGTGCCACCCCCCTTGTTGGTCTGGCCTACAGTTGTGTATGGCTGTGTAACCAGGAATGGCATAGACATCTGTACTATCAGGCTTTAGCCAGGTTTCAGTTAGTGTAATGATGGACATATTGGCATGTAAGGAATTTAGTAATGCTATGAGGTCATCGTAATGCTTGCTTAAAGATCTGATATTGTAGTTAAAGATAGTTATGTTGTTGTTGGCACTGAGAAGTGCCTTTGATTGTTCTGCAGTGTAGTAATTACAGTAACTGTTTGATTCATTTAAGTATTGGAAAATTGGAAACCCTTCATTTAGCATACATACATAAAGAGGTACAAAAAAATACAGGTAAGAGCAGCATGCCAAAGCCACTTATATGCATAGCATTACGGGCTGGCTTAAAATTAACTTAAGATTAACTAAGCAATGATGAAATCAGTGATGAGACATTATTGTAAACAGATAACTATAAAATACAAGTGAGTATTACAAAGACAGGTCATATGGTTGCATGCATTGCTGTTCATTCAGGTAGTGTATTTAAAAAAAAAAAAAAAAAAAAAAAAAAAGTTAGGTTTAACATTTGTGTGATATAATTATGGAACATTTAGGATATACAAATTTAAAATGGTTCAGTTATTCATATTTATTTGGTTTGAGTGAGTAAGTGAACTTTGAGAAGAGACTTGAATTTATAAACAGGTAGTGTTTCTTTTATATTTACAGGTAATGAAAATTTCCCGATTTTAGGGGCCCTTTTTTGTGCATTGAGTTTTTGATAGCGTGAGATGGACACGAGGAACATCAAAGAGTGATCTGTGCCTTGTATTATGGTCATGTGTTC